GTTTTTTTTTTAAGATTTATTTATTTGTACATATAAGAACTGGGGTACAGGCCAGAGGTGTAGAGGGGGGGTGAGAGGATTCACCAGAGACAGAGTGGGGAACAGAACAGGCGGATCAACTGAAATACACTGCTGAGGGAGCAGCGGGGAGTCACGCGAGGTCTGCTGTGCCATGTGGGCAGCTCCCTGGCTGGGGATCACACTCATGCTGCAGAGTCTCTGAGACAGCTCCATAGGTTGCGTCTTATTCCCTTGCGCCACCAGGGAGTCTCATATATTAAGTGTTTTTAATATATTTTCCCCACCTCTTAATCTTCCTTAATTTTTTTACCTGTCTTCTTTTGTTGTACTCTGGGTAATTTCAGATCTATTCTCTATTTAGCAGTGTCTAGTTTGCTGAATTTGTCCATTGAGGCTTAATATTAGTTATCCTGTTTTTCACTTGATTCTTTTTCAGATTTGTTGCCTTCCATTTTGCTCTTATTTTCCATTTCATATTACATTTTGAAACATTACCATTCCTTTAAAAAAAACATGGTGAGTTTACTTATTATTTCTATTGAATCTTGAATATTCATATTTTAAAAATTTGAGCATATTTTTATTGTAACATTATCTGTGGAAGTTCATATGAGACCCGACTTTAGGGTGCTTTCTCCTAGCGGGGATTTATAATGGAGGACACTATTAAGGTAGGGCCACTTAAAATTTCTAGGTTTGAGATTTTTCACAACATACATGTGGTTTGGATTTGTACTTGAAATGTGTGAAGGTGGCTTTGGTTACAAATTTCCAGGGAATACTCTTCTTTACTTCCAAAATACAAATAAACCTAGATTCTGAGGAGAATTTTCCTTACAGACTTGCCTTGAGATAGGTTTTTTTTTTCTTTCAATGTTACTTTTTTTTTTTTTAATTTAGCTGGAGTCCATCAGGAATCAGCATTAATATGCTTACCTGTAGTCAAACTTGCTATATTGTATAGTGTGAAGCTTTGACTTTGTCTCCTGCATAATAGTTAATACTGAAAGCTCTGTGATAATGGAAAAGTAAGAGTGTGTGTGTGTGTTGTGTGTATGTGTGTCTATGTGTCCAATACAGCAGCCAATAGCCATAAGTGGTTATTGAAATTTGACTGGTGAGACAAGCACCTGAATTTTAAATTTTACGTGATTTTAATTAACCTAAATTTAAGTGACTATAGTTTTAGACAATGCAGCTTGGCTATGGGAGACTGTCAAATGCCTCTAGGGCAATTTCTATATAGAATCATTGCCTACTTAAGGCTCTGTTTGTCTTAATGTATTTTTTTTTTTTTATAGGGAGGGAGGAGCTCTGAGAATTTCTCTTAGCTATATATTTAAAAAGACGTTTCTTGTATTTTATCAAGATTTACCATTTTTAGGTATCAGGTAGCAAGAGTGTTCATAAACCATTTGGACACAAGAATCTTGGAAACAGTAATCCCTGAAAGCTTTATTTTATTTGGAAAAGTACTTATCTTGAATGATAAAAACTGGAAAGTTCATACAAGAGTGATGGAAATTCTTCAATTGAAACTGACACCATAAAGCTAAAAATTATGAGAAAGAATTAAATAATTAGTTTGTTCTTCTTGTGGTGCAAAGAATTTAAGTAGGCTAAAAGATAAAATACTCGGTCTAAAGATTTTAAAATTTTATACATTGTTTTCAGCTTCTTGGTACCAAGTACTTTATCTATACAAAAGTATACAAGAGTATATGAATGAGGAAAATATGTATATATATATATAGAGAGAGAGAGAGAGAGAGAGAAGAGAGAGAGAGAGAGAGAAATATTTTAAAAATGGATGAAAATATCAAGTAAGCATAGAGAATGGTGATTTTGAGGGCTAGAAAAGGACTTTCAACAGTTAGTGTTAGCTTCTAGATTTGACTGTGTCCTGTGTTGGTAATTTAGTTGTAGGTATTAAAAAGGGCCTAAGTAATGAGTTCTACTTCTCAAGTAGACATTTATTTTTTCCTTTATAGCTAAACATGTTAGAAATACCTATTTGGTTGTCAATGTGTATTAATAAAAATGTGTAGATTCTTTATAATAAATTTCTGTTACTCTAGGAATCTTTTTACTCTTTTGGAACTATAGCTAATTTGAGTTTTTTAAATTGTGGTAAAACATACCTAAGATCTACTGTTTTGACCATTTTTAAGAGTATAGTTCAGTGACATTCACGTATAGCCAGTACCATCCTTCTTCAGAACTTTTTTCTTCTCCAAACTGAAATTCTGCACCTGTTGACGCTCCCATTTTCTCTTCTTGCAGACCCTGGCATGCACTGTTAAACTTTCTGTTTCTATAAATTTGACTTTTCTAGGAACCTCATATAAATAGAATCATGGAATACTTGTTCTGTTGTGACTGGCTTATTTCACTTAGCATAATGTCCTCAAGACTAAATTTAATTCTTTTCCATTACAATTTGTTATGAGAGCAAAATACAGAGATCACATCAACTTTTAGTGTAGATAAGGGTTCTTCATATATTGTTTTCATCTACATTATTGTTCAATGAAGTCAATGTTAATTTGGTCTTCTGACACAATATTGTTAGAAATAGCAGAATGTAACACCAAATGTTGTGGTTTATAATTATATTAAATTTAAACTTTAACATGATTAAAACTGGACCACGGAGCTAGTTCTAGAATGCATTATCAGGTGTTATAGAAGTCAGAAATCCTTTTGGATACATCCAGGGGTTTTAACTGTCTAAAAGAGGAAGAAATTACCTTAAGGCCACGTTTAGTGCCTATAATCAAGGAAAGAATATGATAGTGCTTACTTTCCTTTGAATTCTACGCTTCGTGTCCATGCCAGGATGAGTTATCTGTAGCCATTTATACATATCAGCTTTGTCACACAAGTTGGAGGAATCATGTGAAAGAACCCTTATTCGGTGAGCATGAATATAAATTCTCATGCTAAGGCTAAACAACAATGGTTCAAGTTCCAGGAAACTTTCAAATCTTTGGCCTCTGGACTTTAGGGGCCAGGTTTGGAGTAATAGCCCCATATACCTTTTATGTGAAATAAAAGGGGGTTTAAGACATTAATCTCTCCTGGATGGTATGAAAAACAAGATTTTTCTTTTTTTATGTCCAGTGGGATGGGATAGCATTTAGGGGAAGAGACAGGGAATCTGAGAATTTTGTCTTATGTGCTACTGAACAGCATACTTGTTTGAATGAACTGGTAGGTTACTTACTTTGGAACTAGTTGGAAGAATCTTTCAAAGCTGGGATTTGCATAAAGAATCTTAAACAAGTCACTTCAGATATGGGTAATTTAAGATTGTTTCTAGGAACTACTCCATGAAATTAATTGCAATGTGTATATTGTTGCTTATTTGTCAAGTACATTTATCATTTTGGATAAGTGAGGTTATATAAATCCAATGTGCGTAAGCTTTTTTTAACCTGGTGTTTTTGAGGTTACTGTTTTTAGTACTGAGAAAACTGGATATTTTAGGAACTTCAGTTCTTAAATAAGTTGACTTGGCAGTTTTTGATTATGGAGAGCAGGGGCACATTGCTTAGTACGTAGTGCTTTGAGTTGGCATTTTGGAATTTTAAGTTTAAGATAAGTAGTTTTGATACAAATTTGAACAAAGAGAAAAGCCTCTGTGTCGAGAGATTAGATCTCTATTAAAAGTGAATGAACTATCCGATCATCTGTGAACATTTAATATATTTGTAAGGTGGAATTGACTTTCCTAACATCTCCAGTGAGCAGCATGTTCAGCCACTTAGTTTCCTAGAATGGAAAACAAATCTAATAACATAGTGAAATGCCTCCAGAAAGTGTGAGAACTTTCATGATGTATTCTAAAGCTGACATTATAAATTACATCATTATTTAGATTTTCAGTACAACTTCTCATTTCCTTTGGGATAATTGGGTTATCTGAAAATGAAAATCATTTAATAATATCTATTGCAAAGATAGAGAAGAAAGCATGTGGGCTGGGATCAGGTGATTAAGTGGCAGCATTGTGATTACATGCCACTGCTAATTGCAGCTTGTGGACCGTGTTGGGCATACAGATGCTGATGCAGTCTTTTTTAATTTTGTAAATTTATACTTCTTGTGTATATTATGTGACAAGAGGAAAATGTATAGATGGGGGCAGAAGATTTCTTAAAAAGATATTACCCTAACTTTAACCTGTTTCAGAAGCAGAGGTCCTTAGTATAATGCTATAGTCTTAATTGGTCTAGAAAATAAATAATACTTTTTGTGTTTGCAAAAAGGAGCTCACCAGTGTATGAAGAAGGCTGTGCATAATATAGCACAAATGCAAATTTTGTCTTGAATCTGATCTTATCTGATATTAGATTTGGGGAAGCATTTGTGCATCCATGAATATGTTTAACTGTATTGTTAGTATTGATTTATAATAGTAATCTTAGCAAAGGGTTAAGTTTGTATTTACACTAACATAGTGTTTTATGTTACACTGAGAAAACTTTTCTTTTTTACTTTGATATTGTACCATTTATTTTTTCACAATGAACCCATATTACTTTTATAATGAGGAAAATATCCATTATCGGAGAGAGTCTATAGCAACAACTTTGGAGATTTTTATTTGATGGTTTAAATCATTTATGTGCAGTTGAAATACACTGAGCGGATGTGATGGAGTGATTTTTTTCCCCTATGATTTATTTATGCAGGGAGGGGGGAGGGAATGTTTTTATTAACTAAAGATAGGTATGTTTCTATGTGGTAATTTATATGTATTATTTACTTTTGAGGTAACTTGTTACAGGAAAAGGAAAATGTATATCATGTTATAAAGATTGATTGGTAATCTTTTATATTTAAATGAAAACAAGCCCTTTTGGAAATAGAAAAATTCTGAAACTAAGTTATTTTCCTCATTTCCTTTTAGAAAGCATAATTTAAACTCCTGACAATTAGAAAATATGATTTTTCCTTTTTTGTTTTCTGCCTAGGACATGTATTCCTCTGAGAAACTTTGGACAGCAGATTTTGATTTGATATCTGATTGGGATAACATACAGAGACATTTCCAGTCATGAGTAAGTGTCATTCTTTGTTTTCTTTCAGAAGTCTCAAGTCATTTGCAGTTGGAATTATGTCATTTCATCAGAGATTGAATAATCTAATTCCTTCAAATGCTGTGCACTTTTCTATTTTTAAGCAAGGATATGCTTTTTGATTGCTTTATTCTAAGAAGATAGATGTATGTCATTACTTTATTGACTGATTTAGTTATGTTATCTAAAACTTTCTGTTGACTAGTCATTGGAAAATGGCTCGTTAGCTATATGAGGAGGCAAAATTGCAGTTTACCCTAATTAAGAGGTTTTATTGTATGAAATTTAATCACTGGGTAACATAGGTTAACATTTTCATATAAAATATATATTTCATTGTCTTTGGAATCAAGAACCAAGTCTATACTATAGACCTTCAAATTTGATATAAATATTATCTTCTCATTTATGGGGAAAGTATGTGTAATATTTCTGTCGTTCCTATTCTGCTGAGAACTGGACTTTGCTGCTTTGCGTTAATGGTACTTTTAGAGAGTGAGGAAACAATTAAGATTTTACCCTAATTGAGATCCTATAACAATTTTGATGTACCTCTAAAAAAGTACAACTTTTTTATTATGGAAACTTTGGTGTGGAACGAGCATTTCCTTATTGGGGTATGGTATCAGAGAGTTAAATAATTTTCACACATTATTCATAGTGAATAATTTACCTTAATATAGTATAGCTTTTTCCATCATCAATTTATTTTTATTTTTTATTTTTTCAAAGATTTATTTATTTATTCATACAAGCACTGGGTACAGTCAGAAGTGCGGGAGGGTGAGAGAATTCACCAGAGCCTGAGTGGGGAACAGAACAGGCAGACTGACGAAATACACTGCTAAGGGGAGCAGCGGGCGCAGCAGGAGAGGTCTGTCGCACCATGTGAGACCCTCACCAGCGGCCAGGGATCGAACCAGCACTGCGGAGGCTGCGTGCAGCTTCGCAGCCCAGCGCTCAACCACTGCGCCACCAGGGGAAGCCCTCCGTCATCAATTTAAATAATGATAAAGTGGTTGATAAATGAACACTTAAATGTTATTGTAAGATGTGGTCTTTGATTTTTGAGACCTTTTGATAGTGTACATTTTTGATAGCTTACTTTGAATAAACAATAGTTGTTAGATGATTTCAAATACAGGCTAAGAATGTTGCATCTTTTGTTATTTCAGCTCTTTTCATATGAAATATTGTGAGAACATCTATTTTTTTTTTTAAAGATTTATTTATTTATGTACGCACTGGGTACAGTCAGAAGTGTGGAAGGGTGAGAGAATTCACCAGAGCCAGAGCGGGGAACAGAACAGGCAGACTGATGAAATATACTGTTGAGGGGAGCAGCGGGCACGGCAGGAGAGGTCTGTCGCACCATGTGGGACCCGCCATGTGGGACCCTCACTGGCAGCCCGGGGATCGAACCTGGGGATCAAACCTGCGCTGCAGAGGCTGCGGGCAGCTTCGCAGCCCAGTGCTCATCTGCTGCGCCACCAGGGTAGGCCCGAGAACATCTATTTAATATAAAGTGCTAACAGTGAAGATGGTAATAGGAGTTCATGAAAACTAAGAGAAATGTTTAGTATTTTTCTTAATGCTTAGATTTTGGAAATTTAATTAAAATTTCTTCTACTTTAGGGCCTCCCCGGTGGCGCAGCGGTTGAGTGCTGGGTTGCGAAGCTGCCCGCAGCCTCTGCAGCGCCGGTTCGATCCCCGGCTGCTCCCCGGCCACCGGAGGAGGGTCCCACATGGCGCGCAGACCTCTCCTGCCGCCCGCTGCTCCCCTCAGCAGTGTTCTTCGGTCATTCTGCCTGCTCTGCTTCCCGCCCTGGCTCTGGTGAATTCTCTCACCCTCCCGCGCTTCTGACTGTACCCAGTGCTTGTATAAATAAATAAAATAAATAAATAAATAAAAATAAATCTTAAAAAAAAAAAAAATTCTTCTACTTTGTAATTTTCATGTTCTATTAGCATCATTGAGTTTTTTGAGGATGTGTCTTTCATATTAAATCTTGATGTCTAATGGTATCTGTACAGTGCTGGTCTCCCCTCCCCTCCCAAATTGTGAGGACAAGGGCAGAGGGAGTGTAGCTTGTTAAGAAGTAGCAATTCAGATTTTTTTTTGCGACGATTTATTTATTTATGCATACAAGAGCTGGGGTACAGACCATAGATGTGGTGGGTGAGAGGATACACCAGAGACAGAGTGGGGAACAGAACAGGCAGACTGACCAAAATATACTGCTGAGGGGAGCAGCGGGCGAGTCAGTAGAGGTCTGCCTCACCATGTGGCTTGCTCCTTGGCTGGCCAGGGATCGAACTTGTGCTGCGGTGGCTGCGGATTGCTTCATAGTGTGGTCCTTAACCCTTTGCGATACCAGGGCAGTCTGCAATTCAAATTTTTAATTGGTCCCTTTTTAAAAAAAGTTTGTTTCTCATTTCTGCTTGTTATAATTTAATTTTTTGTTCTTTTCTCATTTATCTCTGTGGATCTTTTGTATACTATTTTAATGTCTTTTTTCATATCAGTCAATTATGTTCTTTGCCTGCAGTGAATTTATATTATGATTATTGATATTACTGGTATTTTCATCATGAGAGTTTTTTCCCCCTCCCCTCCACTCTCTTTCCCTTCTCTTCCCTCCTCTCACCTCTCTTCCTCTCCCCCTTCCCCTCCACATCCCTCCCACCCCAACACACACCCCTACTGGTGTTTCTGCCTGGCTTTGTAATTCCTAGATGAGAATCAGGTCTTGTATTGGTGGATAGGAGCCCTGGCCAGTGGTGACATTGGGGATGTCACAGATTTGGTCACTGAGTCAGCTGGCATTAGGTCCGCTATAGCCTCAACACAGTTAGCACAAGCCTTTTTTGGTCTAGTTTCATAATCAAGTTAGAATGCCACTACAATCCTGGTTTTGAGCAAGGAGCCTGGTTCCTGAGCTTGCTTCACATGGAATATTTCCATTTATCATCACCCCCATGTGGTCAGACTTCCTGCTGCCTTTTCCTGCTTTGGGACCCAGAACCCAGTAGACCTCCTGGCTTCTGCTTGGCTTTGTGTTCCTGTTAGATTTCTGATCCCTGGAGGTCAAATAACATGTTTTGGGGCATAGGTCTATCATTTTTGGTGATTTATTTCAGTTTTTTATCTGTAACGTCTCTATTTGCTGTGAAGAAAGGAAAGTGGCCAAGATTGAACAAAGCTGTTGGGGCTTTAACCACTGGTATTATAATGAAGTTTAAATTGTTTATTTTACATTTAAGATTAAAAAAAAAAAAAGCAGTTTCCGCTTAGTTCCTTAGTTCTCAGAGTTCCTATTAGTCATCCATGTACTACTTTACTTGCTCGGTGATAAGCCCCAGCCCATTGCTTCTCCATGGCATCCAGCTTCATTCTAGTATCTGTCCGATTGTGTTACTGTTAACTTACTTGCCTGTTGGCTCTTATCTTTCTCTGAGCTGTAAGCTCCTGCAGGGAATAGAGCTACTCTCATTCTAAACAGTGTACAGGGACTTAATAGGTGCTTAATAAATGGTACATAATTTTGTGTTTTCCTAAATAACTTTCTTTTTTCTATTTTTTTAAAGATTTTATTTTTATTTATTTATGCATACAAGACCTGGGGTGTAGGCCAGAGGTGCCTGGGGTAAGAAGATTTGCCAGAGACAGAGTGGGGAGGAGAATAGGCGGATTGACTGAAACACACTGCTGAGGGGAGCAGTGGGTGAGACAGGAGAGGTCTGCTGCACGATGTGGGTTAGCTTCCAGGCCGGGGATTGAACTGTTTGTGCCACAGTGGCTGGCTATTGATAGCTCTGAGACCTTAACCCCTATGCCACCAGGGAGGCCTCTAAATAATATTTTAGTATGTGGTGGCTATTCCCTGTATTATTTATAGGTGAAATTTGAGTTGTTTCCATGAGGGGAAAAGAGAGAGGGAGAGAGAAAGAGGGAGGAGAGAGAAAGAGGGAAAGGGGAGGAGAGGACATTTGAATTTTTTCTTGTATAACCTAAGAAACTATTAAAGAATTTCAATTAGGGGAGCAGTTTAAAATTTATTTCAGAAAATGATTTTGAGACATGAACTGTTTTATTACATATAAATTAACAAGATTGATGATAGGTAGTATTTGCCTTTTTTAGTTTATTCTTAGTTTTGACTTCTTTTCAGGCTCCCTTTGAAATAGACTTTGAGTTAATATTTCTTTTCTTGACAGTTTGATGTTTTTCTCTATTGATAGAAATCTTGAGTAGAGCAATGTAAGCATAAGTTAGGGAGTGTTAATGATCTACGTTATGTTGTCCTTTCTAGGAGGTTGTTAAGTTTTGAAAAAGGTGAACAATGAGTATATTAGAGTTCTTCTTAAAAAAAAATCTATATCTATATATAGTCAAAGTGTGGTACAAGCTAAAAAATAGGAATATATGTCATTGAAGTCTAGATAGAATTTCCAAGCCTACGTTTGGGTGAGAATAATGAATAACCTAAATCTCTCTCCCCTCTACCCCGTTTTCTAGAGCTTAAGAGAAAACCTGGAGACTTGTATTTCTGCGTGGGTTTACCTCCTGTAGGATTTCCCAACCCTTCCCATGTTATGAACCTTGTAGAATGAGGTAGTAGTTGTACAGCAGGTGGGATAAATTGATAGAGCTGTTTGGGACTTGAAGCTCATTGTGTTAATGCTGACCATTTAAAATGAAATATACTTTGCTTTTAGTTAATTCATCTTGTTTTTGACCACTTGCTGCAAAAAGTAATTTTTCATTAATCTTATTAGGAGATGGTTTGCATTATTTCATATCTTCCTGTTTTGACCTTTTTTTTTTCAAGATTTCAACAAAAAGTTGTAAGACTGAGAAAAATAGTACCTTGTTGAGCATTTCTTTGTGTTTGGTCAGAGAATATCTGTTTGGGAGCTGTGATGTATCAGTCCCTCAGATAGATGATCATATAGAAAACCTGCATGACATATCTATGCAT